GCTCTTCCCCGTCCATTGTCCAGCTCACCCTGTGTCAGAACACCCAACAGAGTGGACTTGCCAGAGTCCACATTACCCAGTACAGCTACTCGCAGGTCCAAGAACTGCAGGAAAAACACAAAGAATGAGCAGCGATAAAAAATAAATTCAACAGATCAACAACAAAAAACAGCCAAAAAGCAGCCTATCTTTAAAGAATAGTTTTACTAACCTGCTGGTCATCTGGCACCTTGCGAATGAGAACCTCAGCAATCTTACGAGGCACATCAGAGTCATAGTCCACCTCTCGCTCTCTGAGGACAGTGATATCGGCTCCAACTCTGTCATAAAAAAAAAGGAAAAAGAAACACATATATAAATAAAGTGCTGTGTTTTGATTGTGGAATTACAAAACAATCACTTTTTACTTGAAATGGGCTTTGTTTTAACTGCCATATTTTCCTTTACCATTTGTTTGGTTAGGGTTATAACCTGGTGTCAAACAGTGATACGCTGCGGTTTGAATAAAAAGTGAATTTGGTAATATCTTGACTTACTTCTCTGCCAGTTTATGGAGCGTCTTCAGCGATGTCCTCATATCTTCCTCTGATAATCCCACTAGCATGCCATTATCCTCAACACCTATTTGATAGACGGCTTCGCCCCGACCCTCCTGCAGTCGCCATTTCATTTGTGTTGCCAGGTGCTCAAAGCGGTATTGTGTGGGGTTCACCAGCTTCAGCTAGACCAGGGAGAGACTTTAGAAATCAGTGCTGAACTGAAAACCTAGATTTTGGAAGGTTAAAGGTGTCTGTGGTAAAATAAATCTGATGAAAATAACTAACATTACTGAGGATTACTGTAGAGCTAAGGCAATAAAAATCTGAACTAAAGTCTCTATTGATGTGTTAGGGGATGCAGCTGCCCAAACACTAAAAATGATCTCGCTAATCCACTGTGGTGTCAGTTTTCCATGGTAGGACAATGTGAGACAGCATGTATATATTCTGATATATTACCTTCAGTTGTTTACCTTCATTTGGAATTTGTTTTGCTACAGTTGCTCGCATTGCTAAACAAGGCATTAAAGAAACAGAATAATATACATATAAATATATCAATGTTTATGTTTATTGTAATGCCTAACCTAATACAAATAACCTCCACACTCTTGTCATGAAGAAGCTGACCTCACCATGAGCGGTGCATTGTCAAAGTGTTACATGAAGTGACTAGTTCACTTTGAAGGAAACCAAAAGCTTATTTGCTTACCTTGTACTCTATGTTTCCCTCTTCAGCCTAAGAGACAGGGGGACAAACAAAGAGATGGACAGAAAAAAAACAGGAACAACAGCTGTCAGAATATAGAGAAGTGAGACAATAGGCTATTGATCTGTTAAAAGACACAAAGAAAAGCAATCTGACTGAATGAGCAGCCAGTGCACTACTGCGAATAGGTAGTCACTGGGATCTACACAAACTCACTGCCTAGCTAGCGATCCCTAATAAACAGTACTTAATGTGTTATTAGACAAAGTACACAAACATATACAAGTCAATATACATTTACAGTTGACTAGTGAATATCCCAAAAAGTGGGATAAATATCTTAAATGCAAACTAACATTTGCGAGACAGGGGAGTTGGATACATGTTGAGGCTTGTCTCGCTAACATTAAGAGTTTATGACCATGGTGCTGTGAGGAAATGCAAGGCTAAGATGCCTTCAATAATCTATATTCCTAACACAGTCTAAGTTAGGGTGAGCTTTAGATAGTTTGGGGTGACAACGATAATTTATTTCACGTTTATGTAATGGTCACGTTAACTGTTGGGTGAGTTTAAGTTGAGGTAACAAACAATCGATTAAAATAATCTTTCGTTACTGTGTAGTAACACAGTCCCTGGCTGAGTGAATGTCAGGGACTTTAATAGTAACATTAGCTAGATATGGGTCGACCGAGTAAGTTACACACCCGCCCCCTGTTACATATTTACAAACACAGCTGTTCCTCCTCTGCAAGCTAGCAACACACTAGCCAGCTAACTGACGTTACAGCAAGCGGCTTTTAATTAAACACACATTTTGGCGCACTACTGTAAAACTACTTTTAATGGCAAATTTTTATGTTAACCGCTAACGTTTTGTCTCTAATGTTAACCGAGTGTAACCATCTCATTCATTTTCGTTTCCTTGACGTTACCGACCAGCTACGTGTCACTGCGTGTTCAAAGACAAGTCATGGCAGGACAGGACAGCTAACGTTAACTAACCCCGACACGACAGGGGATGCAATGAAGTGTTAGTCTTACACATCATGCACACAAGCACACGTTTATGTTCACATTATTATTAGCAGACTAAAATCGTAAACAATATTAGCTTGAATATGCTAGCAATAGTTGTGCGCGTAACTTCTGCCTTACCTCTGGAGGTAGATATGGGGTGTTATTGCTTGGTTTGAAGTTGCGGGAGAATCGAGCTTTGGATTTCTTGTTGTTCTTTACACAAGCCTTTTTGGGGGCTGCCGCATAGCCATTTCCCGGTTTGACATTGGACGCGACACCTTGAGATCCAGAGCCATGTCCGCTTCCTGAGCAGAATAACTCCGATACCCGCGCATCCATCAGCTGTTTTGGGACCTAACTTGTTAGCGTACCACTACCTGGATAAATATGATGCTATATTATTAAAATACACCTCGGTCCCAGCATGCAGGTGTTTGTATATGAGTGGAATTAACGTGCTAGTGGTAGCGTGCAGCCCCACCACAATAAAAACAAAGCGCCGACCACCCTCAAACTCTTCAAACCGAACAATAACAGCACCGTCGAGTTTTGAGTTTACAGTGTGCACACGTCACGGTCCTAAATGTCAAATGGGTCCCTGATTTTAACAACCTGGGAGTGCAAGTGAGCGGTGCTATTTGTTTTCTGAGCTGCGTGAGGGTGTTCGTAGGCTTGTAGCCCCGCCCGGCTGGCTACCTAGGTTGAAACAGCGAACACACACAGACCGACGTAGTTTTGCAGGGCTTTGCATCAGACGAAAAAGGAAATAATGACATACTTGTTTACAAAGACTTTAGATTTTTACATATTACAAAGAATACATATATATATAACAGCGAGTACGGTCTAGACCGTATGAAAAGTGCAATGAGATATGGTTTGTTATGAATTGGCGCTATATAAATAAATTTGAACTGAATTGAATGATGCCACAAGATCAGAAAATGTGTCATCAAATTGGAGGAAATGTGACATTTAAGGTTGGCATTTAGAGGTTTTAAAAGAGTGTGCAATAACCCAGTAACTCTGTCTTTAATCAGCCACCTGTTTATTATTATTATTATATTCATCATTCTCTATTTCAGAGCTGTTCATACTGTTCCTATTGTTATATTTTCATATTGTACATACTGTTTACCAAATCTACCTACCTCAAGTAAATAACACCTACACATAATGCTTATTTATGCCAGCATCCTTTGCACTATGCTCCATCGCACTGTGTACATGTGTACATGTATGCATGTATGTGTATGTAAACCTGTATATCACATCCACCTCTGACATGTACATAACAATCATAATAACAATAATAATAATAATAATAATAATAAAAATAATAATAATAATAATAATAATCTACTCCTGCATCCTTTGCACTCTGCTCACTGCACTATTTGTCAATCTGTCAATATTGTTTTTGTTCATAGTGTGTATATTGGTGTTCTCTATACTGTAGCCTGTGTTTGATTTTATTATTGTGTTATTGTATTATTGTATGATTAAGCACATCGTGAGCAATGTACAATCCTGAGTCAAATTCCTCATATGTGTACACATACCTGGCAAATAAATCTGATTCTGATAATTTAATAATGTCGTAGTGAGACGCATAAGAATGATTCAACACATAGCCTTTCACTTTGATGCGACTGAAGTGCTTTCACTTTCTGTCAAGCATTTATTACACCCTTTTAAAGCACATATATGCATATGATGCAACACTGAGCTTAGGTTGTCATCGTGTCTAATTATGCAGAATTACAGTTGAGTAATCCCCCTTTAAAATTGATAAACCAATCAAATAAACAAATAGTTTCTTGCTGGTGCAATTTCTTGATCATAGCTAGTTGACAATAGTGGCATCAGCTGTTATAAAATACGACTCCTGGTCATAAACTTGGTCCAAACTCCATGGACCTCTGGGCGTCCTTGAGATTACACAAAGGGTTGCTGATTATATATTTGACTGGGTTTACATAGACTGGGTTTGGTTACACATATTTGATATTTTTAATACATTTGTTTTTGAAATGACTAGACAAGATTATATCTTGAACCAGCTGTCACCAGAAAGCTTTGTTACATTACATTTTCTCCTGTTGCTTGCGTACTTTAATTTGTGGTTGTATGATTCCTTTCATGTTCAAGCTGTGTACAGCAACACATCCTGTACAGATTTATTTTTTTCAGCCCTTTAAGCCTGAGTTTTGTTCCCCCCCGCACTTTATTTTGCAATTTGTCATTTTTCCAGTTATAACACTTTAGTTTGACCTATGTCAGGTCTCAGTCACATGAGAGGATCATCAGAGCTGAATGGAAGTTAGTGAAATAAAATAACTCATCTCATCATTTTCCAAACTCAATTTAGATTAGTTGCACTTTTACTCAAAATTATAAATAGATTTTACATCTAGTTATATAAAAAAACATTATAATACATATATTATATTGCTTCTCATTTAGTCTGTCAAAAATTTAGGCACTTACTCAAAGACCTGTAGAAAGAACAACATGCTGTATCTCAGGACACACAGCACACATTAACTGTGGCTTATTGTTCCTGCAAAGACACTGAGATTTGAGAAAAGTCAGCCAACTCCCCAGTGGGAAATGAATAGTTCGTAGTGTGGCGTTTCTGAAAGGAAACACTGATTGGTCAGGCGACCTCTGATGTAGGGGCTCAGCCCCTTCCTGGCTGACAGAAGTGTTTTGAGATTTTTATAGCCTTAAGTTTCTTCAAACATCCACATTCACATCCGCACTTACACACACACACAACACTCCCTTGGTTCTGTTCTTTCAGTCAGCATGAGTTATCCACTGGTGATTCTGCTCTGTGTGGGACTACTGCACCAGACCGCGAGGGCTGTCCTTATGGATAAACTAGCAGACAACAAGATTTGTGGGGATGCAGACTGCTCATGTAAGTCAGAGCATTAAAGAGAAGCAGAAAGCAGTGTGTGAAGTCTAATCTAAAAACTAATACGTATTAAAACTATGAAGTAAAATGCAAGTGCTTGATAACTTCTAACAAATTGTCGATTTCTCATCTATACTTCCCTTTCATCTTTTGTTTCCTGTGCTTTATTAGATGTCCTCTCCATGGCCACGGCCTTGGAAGACTTCATAGCTCCTGACTGCAGATTCATCAACATCAAGAAGGGTCAGATGGTTTATGTGTATTCTAAACTCGTACCAGAGGAGGGTGCCGGAGTCTTCTGGTCTGGAAGCGTATGTGTATATATTTGTTACATATTATCTAGCGGTGCACACTTTCCCTACAGAAGATACAGAAGGTGTGCAGCAGATGTGACAAACTAATGTGAACTTTCTGGACTTTTGTAGCAAAATGTCAAGAAATACATTTGGTTAAATATTCAGTTTCGTTATACTGGGAATGAGCGATCATTTAAATTACTTCAAGTTAAGTGAGGATGATGAATGCATAAATGTTGTGTATGGTAATTTGTTAGAGAGGCCATGTTATTTCCACCGGCAGGTTTACAGTGAGCGCTATGTGGACCAGATGGGCATCATCGGATACTTCCCTGCGACTGTGCTGAAGGAGACACAGAAGTTTACGGAAAACCTAGTTAAGATTCCCACAACTGTGAGTGTATTTGTCTCTTTTATAAGACTATATGTGGAATGAATACTTTTATTTCATTCTCTGTTCATTTTCAGGAGTAATAGGTGGTGGTCAACATTTATCTAATTTTATTTTGCCTTTTTTTTTCAGGACATGGACTTCTACTGTGATTAAAGCATGACAGATTGAAGCCTCTTTCTTCTCAAGTCTTGCTTTTAGTGTCTCTGGCTTTAATAAAGGAGAGTAGACAGTTCTTCTCCCCAGCCGGTGTTTCATCCTGTGGCGTTGTCTCCAGCTGGAATGAAAACCTGGACACTCTCAGCCCTCCATAGCCCACAGTCTGACACCCCCCGTTGCTGAGCCAGCTAGTCATTTCTGTCGTGCTTTGTCTTAACAAGACACATTGCTCAATAAACCATTTTTCATATCAACATATAATGTTTATTACTTGAACAGATAAGAATTCATTTTCCTACTTTGACTCTTCAAGATTGGTAATTACAATTTCTGCTGACATATCTAATAAATTGCAGATCATCTCCTGTTGTAAATATACATAATCAAATTTGATTTGTACTGCTGATGTAGTGTTTTTATTGCAGTTTCAAGGTCTCTCAACACTGTGATCAGACATTTTTTGTTCCACAGAAAACTGTCTGCACTGCACACAAGTTAACAGCAGGGAAAGAGGTCCAGTGCTTGTCTTGTACAGAGGCATATTTGCTTGTACATTGTATTCATTGTTTACTATACCCAATAGCTATTTTTAGTAAACACATACTACATACACTTCTTTTTTTTTAATTATATTTTTGCAGCCAAGTAATATACCCAGATCCCATCTCTTATGCATTCATCCAAACACGAATGGAGAAACAAACTGTACTGGACAAACGAACTAACGCTGGTAAATCTAGTGAGGGGCGTTCATGCAGGTGAGATGCTGAGTTATGGTGATGGATGGTGCAGCAGCAGCAATACGATGGAGATAAGACTGATGAATTAGGTAACCCAGTAAATCTAATGTCTACAGTATCACTGGTCAAACACTCAGAGAGTTGAAAAGCAAAGGACACAACTATTCTTTTTATCTCAGGGAAGGTTAAAAGTGATAAATCTGGAAATGGAAATGTTATGTTATTTATTATTTTACTTGTGAAGCAACAGTCCTGTTTTTCACCCACTCAATCATTGCTTCTTTGTCTCTCTCTCCTCCCTTCTGTCTCTCTGTCAATTCAGTTTATTGGCATGACCATTTCTTAAACATGCACCAAACTAGAATGACAGATTGATTGACTGAACTAATGTCATTATCAGAGATATAGGGAGGTTATGGGTGCACAACATAACATAAACACTTACTGGAAAATAATTGGAATCTAAATGGTATCAAAATCACCATTTCAAATACTGTTATAAATGTGGCTCATATTTGGGTCGCATGACAGTTAGCATTTACCTGTCAACACCCTACTGTATATTCTGAATGTTTGTTCACAATTGTTTCTAGTTGATGTATTTTGACCATAGAGAGGCGAGTATTTTGCTTTTTTTCTTTTAGACCGGTGCAGAGTTTTGCAAAATGCTCTGTTAGATGTCTCATGTTGCTTTGAAAAATGTCAAAGTGCCCCACGCCAGACCACCTCACAAAGGCTGCTTACTGACACTTAGCGTAATGACCTCTGTTGTTTTGATTTTAATTGTGATGAAGTTACTTCTTGGTAAAGCTATTTTCCATGAAGTGTTATTACATTATTTTGTTCGTACCACCCATCTACATCAGTGTTGTCTACCAGTCTGTCTGTGTTTGTGTCTGTCTCAAAACCACCCTCGCCTCCAGCACACACACACACACACACACACACACACACACACACACACACACACACACGCACACACAAAGCTTCAAGACAACTGTCATGATTAAACATGGCCTGACATATTGTCACAGTTAAGACTCTTTCCAAAGGATGATTGAATCTCTTTTTCAATTGGTTTTGCATCATCAGCATCTCTTCTTTATGCGTCATAGCACCCACTCACATATGGTGGTGAATATAGCATCTCAATCAAATATTCCCCATTTACAGTCAACAGTGGATTATCTGATTTAAAGATGTTTCATTCGATATAGAAAGCCTCAGTGATTTAGTTAACGTTCTTCAGAGCTGCCAGTCAATTGCTCTGCCATCCCAGGAAGTCTCTTGCATGACTGGTGCATGCATTGATTCGTGAGGCCACGACAAACAGGTCATTTTCATTAGTTTCTTTCTGTCTGACCTAAGGCATTCTTAGAAAGGCAGACTTATGAGTTTAGGTAATAGGGCTGTCACACATTACGATCAATCTCCTGTCCCCATGTCAGCCCCGATCAATACAAACCTGTTTCAAATGGGGACAATTGCCACAAAATGTCTCTCAGGGAAAACATACCTACGGCATGTCTGAGGGGTCTGTTAAGAGGAGACTCACATATTTCCGGAAGCATTTTGAGAAATAATTTTAGTTCAGAAAAATAGCACCTGTATCAATGTGTGGTCATGTTGGAATACAATTGCTGTCATTACACAGTTTGTACAGAGGAGCCAGAAGCTGAATCCAATGGTTATTATTAGCAAATGTCCCAAAGAGGTGAAAAGCTCAGCATCTTTTCAGCTGATTGACAAATGCAGTTGTATGTGTGTGTGTGTGTGTGTGTGTGTGTGTGTGCGGGCCCATGCACAAATCACAGCAAGTTACTCCTGTCAGAAATCACTCTACTGTCTGACAGCTGTAGTTTTAGGGTGTTGCCATGGTGACAGGCTGGGATACTGTGACAGAAGAGATTGATGTGTGTGTTTGAGTGTTTCCTGTGCGTGAGCTTAAAGGAGCAGCCGCCAAATGCTGAGCTGAGTCCACAGTAGATGCATTTTTCTTTCCATCTGGCGTCACACCCACACCTTGATGTCCAGCAGCACAGCAGTAGCTCTACAGTTCCCTGTAGAGCTGAGAAGTCAACAGCATCAGGTCTAGCTGGCATGTGAGCATGACATTTCAGACTGGGGGGAAACACAAGTCTTGCATGTCTGTGTGATACAGTGGGTTGTGATGCTGTGAAACAAATGTACTCTAACGGCTATTTATCATAACAGTCAAATCAATACTTCTTGATTCCAACAACTGAGAAGAAAATATAATCAGCAAAAGAGAAATAATAGACAAAATGCTCTAGGGCTATTCCGGAAGAGTAAACGAGTTTTGTCTGGCACTGAAAATATACATAACCTGACACTGAGCATAATTTAGGTGGGAATGAAAGAAAAAGATTGACGTTGGAAGAACATTTGAAAAAAAACATATTGGTCATGAGACACTGGATGACTCAGGGCGAATGTTTTTGATGAAACAGCTCATTTCTTTTCATGGTCAAACAACAAATGTGTCCCAGAGAGGAGGAATTTACTAAGGACAATGGCAGACAGAAAACATAATTTGTTAGAGTGATGGAGGACTTTTTGTACGCATGACTAGAGAAAAAATGCATGCACCTGTGTCTTTGTCTGTAGTGACTGACTTAATCAGTAGTGTCTTTAAGGTGCTCGAATGACAGGGGGCGTCGGAGCAGATTTTCCTCAAGAGTGTGAGGAAATGCCAGCTCACTGCTTGTTTGAAGTAAATCAATCAGTTGGTCAGCATGAATCAATCACTGTTAAAGCCTGAGGATCAGCAGTGTCCTTCTCACTTTAATATCCTTTACATGTGGAAATGCATTTGTCAGTCTAGTTTTGTGTCTAGAAGGTGTGACCGCCGACTTTAGGATAAAGTGTCAACAGTGTTTACTTGAAAAAAAAGTGCAGCTTCAACGATATTATTTTTCTTTCAGTAATTTTTCTTACTTTGTATTTTCTCTCTCTCTTTCTGTGTCTGTTACATCTCTGACTCATATAATTGCACAAGCTAGTGTAATTCCACCCATTTGCTCTGTCACACCACCACACAAAGAAACCACTGATTTCATTTGTTCCACCCCCCCACCCAAACTGTTGTACCTACTTCTTGAGGGTTACTGGTCTATTTTGGCACAGGAAATCTGAACCTTTTGATTAATCACTACTCCTCCAATGAACAGTGTTAATGTCTCGTAAAAAGAGTATGTGGAAGATGATCGGCTCAGTGGGGGGTGAAGAAGAACTAGAAAAAAAGAAAAAGAGTTCAAGTAGTTTCCATGTTGTTCAAACTTTTCTTCCTCATCTACACTTACGTCATACCTGAATAAACCCTTTTCAACGAGACAACACTCTCCTCACCTTCCCCATCCAATGAAACCAACCTCCTTCCATCCTTTTATTTCCGCTCTGTTTTGCCCGTCACTGTGGTTACCAAAAAGATTCAGGGAAAGGTTACTGTGTGTGTGTGTGTGTGGGGGGGCAGCGGTTGTTTTTTTTTATATAAATCAACAAACCACCTCTATTTGGCTGATGAAGTTCTTGTAGGTCAAAAGGTCATAAAGCTGAAAGAAAAAGACAGGAAATTAATGATACCATGAGGAAATTAGATGCAGCCATTTGCCTGTAATTTTTAACAAAAGTAAATCAAAAGACCTCATTCTAAGACTACTTTGACACATTAGTTACAGATGTATTAGATGATAAATACATAATTAAAGGTCCAGAAAGTGGCCACCTCTAATAACAAAATTACTGTGTATTTCATATCTAGGTGGAAAGAAATCACCCAACCATCAGTGGATTAACGTTTATCTTGTCAGTTAGACTCCACTATTCCACTATTCATTTGTTTTTTTCCCGTGTATGCATGAAACCAATTTCACTCGCCACCACGATGATGATGAGCCAAATAAAAGATAAGTAATTCCCTATAAAATAATTACATCTACAGGAATCTGTTGCATGTCATCTTGTAAAAGTTCCAGGGTAATGGTCTGTACTTGTATCGCAAAGGACACTTTGAGATGCAGACTGGAGGAGCCCGGGGTATCAAACCACAGATCTTCAAATTAGTGGGCAACCCACTCTAAGCCACAGCCTCCCTGTTGAAGACAAGATAAGACAATGCAGCAAAGCATAATGTGTGTATCTCTCATCTGAATGTATCCAAAATTTGCCGTCACAAGCACGCATAAAAGTGGCAGAGTGCTTCTCTGCACAGGCCTGAGTAAATATTTGAATTACTTTTGTGACGTGGCCAGAAACATGTTTCCAAACATCATGCTGACACAGTGGTGCATATCAGGAAGAGATAGGGTTAAGGTCTGTGTGGAGTTTGGAGTTCCTCTGGCACTCCAAAGACATGCAGGTGAAGGAAGCTGACGACTCTAAATTGCACGTAGGTGATAATGTAAGTGTCGATGCTTGTATGTGATTGACTAGTGAACAGATTATACCATCTCTCCCAATGTTAGACAGGCTCCAGCCCCACCTTGATCTTCAAGGATAAGAAAATATAACAAATGAATGGATGCCCTCTGCCCCCCTGTAAATGATGCACTTAAAGCACTCTTAACACTTAGCTGGATGCCAGTTTTCATATTTACCTGAAAGGTTACACTACCTAGGTGTGGCAAACTAACA